AGGATAGTTGTAGGAAAAAGGGTTGGTTGTAGAAAAGGAGTCGTGTTGTCAATAGAGTAGTCTAATTAATTTATGTACGACGAATTATGTATTTAAAGGCCGCATTTTTGCCTTCAATAAAGTTCTTCAGACTTCGATCTCCTACACACTTAAATATAAAAACTTGACTTGTCGAATTCTCACTCTTACTGCATGATTGTCTCATCGTGATCACGGTTCACGAAACTTTACATTTATTTATTTCTTTAAATTATTTCTTTATTTATTCATTTATTTATTTATTACATCATATAACTATTACAATTACAACGTTGTCCCGCCACGGCTACGATTACCCATTGTTAAGAATCGTTATCTTACTTAACGGTCTCTTAAAATAACTTATTTTTATCTCGCTTCAATCCACCCTAAATCGTCCTTATAGCAACCTCGCATCATACGATCATCGATATCCTTATAACCCTTACTGCATTCCTTATAGTTATCCTGCATACAATTCGTCCATAAATATTAGCAGATACCTTTTTCGTTCACTATCGCTGACCTAAACCCGGCACCCATTTACTGACGCTCTCCCGATCCGATAGTAACACCGTGACAATATATAAGGTACTTAATGTCAAAAGGACCATAAAACGATTACAGAATTAAGCATATACAATATGTTAACATTAGTAACCCTATAAAAATTTTTCGAAACACGGATCCGGACTTTCTTTCCGAAAATGCCCATTTTCCCGGAACAAAACATATATAATTTCCCGTTCATTTCCATAGAATCCTGATAGCTTGCGGGTAAGAATCAGATCCTGATAATATTTGGCTTTTAGTCTTTAGTACTTCATTATACAGTCTACCCTCGTTAGAACGGACTCCGTTATAGCGGATATCTCTAGAATAATTTAAAATTATTATATTATACTATATAACGTTATCATTATAATGGACAGAATTTCTTGGCCGATAACTACTGTAATTAGAATCCGAATTTTACCCGGAATTTATCAAGATTCAATGGAAATGACCAGGAATTTGTATATGTTGTGTTCCAGACAAATGAGCATTTTTCGGAACGTGATTTGGAGAAAGCCGGGATACACTTTTTCGAAAATTTTTTATAGGCCAGTGAATTGCATTTAAGACAAGCGTAATAGCTTATTCGAGTCAATCTTTCAATTTTAACGTTAAGGCTAAATTTAGCCTTGTGCCACATGTTTACGTATCAACGTGGCTGTGTAATTTATGCAGTGGATTTATGCGTTACCGTTACTACGTATGCACGTAAACGTAAATCTGCAGTAAATATGTTAGTACGTACAATCATGACGTTTATGATGTTTACAGTAATTTATTAAATTTAGTTCCAAATTACTGAAATAGGAAATCAAAAGATCTGAGTCAACTCAAAGTCGATTCTAAGGATCAACTAATTGCTCTTACTTAACTATATATCATGTTAATATTGTTAATATGTTTAGTCTCAACCTTGACACATTCATATTTGATTTCCAAGCGATCTAAAAATTTCAGAATTTTCCCGCCTCATTTTTATTTTTGACTATTTTACATAGTAAGAACTGAATACTGATTTTCAATTTGAGTACGTATCAACTTTGGATAATAATCAGTTCCGAACTCCATTACAATCCCATAGCATAATAACCGAGTCAATATTTGCAATTTACATTTTAGTAAAAATCCTCAATTAATCTATATATTCCGATATTCATATTTAGAGATGCGTCAAAACCGGGAATTGTCATTGGTCACTGATTAATAATCAATTTAAAAACTATTCGGCTTTTAGATTGAAAAAAATATATAATGGAGGATTGCTTCTTAATCTTCAGTTCAGTGTTCTAGAGAACATATATAAAGTGTAAAGGCCAGTAATCAGAAAATTAAAAAATGAACGGACAAGGTCAATTAAGTTTATTGGTTGATAATCAGCCAGCCCCTCGTGTTTGCGTTTTTATTAATTCTATTAACGATCCCGAGATTCAAAAAGAGATTAACGATCCCGTGATTCAAAAAGAGATTAACGATCCGCAGTTAATTAATCTTCCGTTCCCTCCAAAAATCAATCCTCATGACCTGGTTGTTCCACGTTCTGATGGTCATGTCTCTAGGCCTCCTAATACCTTTATGATCTATCGTAAACGATTTGTTGAAACTGCTCGTGCAGCCGGTTATAACTTGCCAATGAATATTATCTCTTCAATGGCATCTAAATCATGGGAAAATGAATCAGATAATGTTAAAAAAGAATATAGGAGAATCGCGAGAGAAGCTTTTGATTATTTTAATGAATTATTTCCTAAAACCAAGCCTAAAAAAAAAAGGGACCAATGGAGAAATGTTTCATTTGACAAATTTACCTATAAAACTAAGATTCCAAAATCTTTAAAATCGGTTAATAATGATAAATCTACAAAACTAACAGAATTCGAAATTGTTCTTAATCATGATTTATCGTTTCCTGAAATGCCCGGTGATTTAAATGATATCAATTCTTTGAAATTAAACCCTAACTTTTTTGTTGATAGGACTGATTTATTTGATAATCAAAATGCCTACCCAAGTCCTGATATATCCCTAGCTGCTAGAAGTAATAGTTCACCTGGTATAGATAAAGAATCCGAATTTAATTCAGAACCTCTTACTGCTCAAAATTTTTGTCATTTTATGGGTGGTGATATTAATGATACTTTGATTGTTGACACTTTAGGTTTCTCTAACGAAACTCCAAAGACAAGTCCATTTGGAACATTTGATACTCAGAACACATGCGTTTTAAATGATTTTATCAATTTCGATAATTTCAGTGAGATGAATGAGATGTCTTATGAGCAATTGCCATTCAATTCTTACTAAATTCAGCGATCTATCAAGCTAAATGACGCATCGATCTTTATAAGACGTATTTGATTTTTAAATATATTCTGTTAATAGTGTAGTGCATACAATGAATGTACTTTAAATTGTTAAAAGTTTTATTATTTAAGCTTTATAGTTTACACATTTTGTTTTTTTATGATAGCTTAAAATTATACCTTTATAAGACATATCGGTTATCTGACATTTAAAAATTATGTTGCTTCATAAGTTCAATATATCCAATATATATGTTATTAATCAAAATTATATAGAAATATATAGCAATTTAACATAATCCTTACTGTTCTTGTAGATTTTATCTTTTATTTTATAAACATAACATAAAGTTTGCAAAAAATCAAGACTTGAATAATTTTATATAAGGAAATACTTTTGCGGCACTATAGTGTCATGGCACTATATCATATGTAATTATCAGATCGTATATGTAAATCGATTTTTTAAAGTAAAAATTTGTTTTTTTTTTAATATTAGGGTAAGGGTGAGATCTTGATGTTGGGGTTAAACAAAACCTAAAGTAAAATTGCGCAAGGAATTTTTTTTGTTAGAGTCCAAAAGGTGGTTTCATAGACAAAATTTTGAGATATAATCGATTTTTTAAAAAATTCTTTGTTTTTGTTACACAAAGCTGATCTATACGTTACACCTGATCTTAAATTCTGATTGGCTATAATGCCCTAGTGCCATGGCACTATAGTGCCATAAAAATATTCCCTTTATATAATATTAATATTGATATTTAATAATAAAAGTTCAAACTTATATTAATACTTGTTTGTTTTAATCCAGACTATTTATGCTTTAATTGATGTATTTTTAAATACTGTAAATAAATTAATATATACTTATCGATTAAATCACTGAATTAATAAATACATTATTGCATGAAAAGTGAAAGGCTAACACTAAATTAATATAATCGACTTATTAAATTTTATTATCCGACATGTCTTATGTGAATACCGAACGATTTTTGTATAAGTTATTCGGCCATCTCCTAATACAATACACAAATTTTCATCACCTCTTAAGAGGTGAATGAAAATTTGTGTATTTGTATTAGAAGGAGGCCGAATAAGTTACACAAAAATCGTTCGTTGTTCACATAAGACATGTCGAATAAGCGTATTATTGGTCAAATTGTGGCTGATAATTGCTGATTTCTTCACAGCAGATACCGCATGATGACGTGACCTTCGGCCACGTCATAAAAACAGTATCCTAGTGAATAATCAGTTATCATCCATAACATGACCAATAACAAGTACTTATTTGTTAATTAAGTTATACACTATAGAGAAGTTTCATTAACGACATCTCCACCAATATGTGTTAAAAATGCTAAAAATGCTACACCATAGCTTGGAATATTTTCAGTAGCATAACTAGCAATTATTTATTTAAAAAGAAGAGTTATTCATTCAATTATTGTAATCAATAATTTAAAAAAGAAATTTAATTGAATTATTTACAGAAATATGTGAGCATACCTATCGGTAATAATATTTCCGATATTCGTTTGTTTTACAAGATTCCGAATAATAATATTACCTGTAAAACGACAATGATTCTTAAATCTAATGTAATATTTATAGGTGATATTCCACGATTAAATAAAACTAAAATAATAAAAACAAATTAATTAGGATTTGGTAGATTTCGCCGACAACCATTTCGCCGACAACTCATTTCCCGACAACCATTTCATTTCCCCAGCAGTTCATTTCGTCGACAATCCTATTTTGCAGACTTTATATTTCTAACCAACACTAACCATAAAGCGGGTAACCCTAACCCAAAGTCGAGCCAAATTGTCGGAGAAATGAACTGTTGGGGAATGAGCTATCGGGGAAATGGTTGTCGGGAAAGTGGGCTGTCGGTGAAATAGGTCGCCGGTGAAATGTCATAGAAGGAAATTCGTCTGATTGGCTAATGCAAATCAATTGCTTTTTTTGTAACGCAACGTTTCACTAGTGAAAAATCGTCGCAAAAACCATTCATAGCTTTAGAATAGTGTCAATAATCACTGTACAAAAGAATCGGAAAAAGATCGTATTCCTCACCTACATTGTTAGAAGACAAAATATACCGACCGTTTATTGGACAATCTCAAGTTATATTGAAAATGAAGATAAGTGGGAACGTTTTTGTTCAAGGCTGCCTAATTATGTTAGATTTGGAAAAACTTTTATTACTAACTATTGAATTTGAACAAGATAGGTTTATTGTAAAAGAAGTTCCGGGTTTGATACTTAAATATGTTTGGTTCTCGCGTTATGTTTTTGGTTTGTTAATCATAATAGGATTTGGTTGATAGAATGTAGATTGTACGTATTAATGAGTTTGGGTTTATTAATAATGAATACCACTTTCTTCACGTATCGATCTATCTACTATATATTTGAAATAAATTAATTCTTTTACATATTTATTAAATTATAACCTTTATACGAAGTTTCTTTTGTTTTCTAGTATTATTAAACCGAAGAATTCTTTAAAATTATGTAATTTGATTGTTTTTTTTTAGAATATTACTGAATACAATCATTTTAGCACTTATTTTATTGTTGTATTTAGTGATCCAAATCGGTGCAATCGATTATTACGGTTTTAAGTTTATGTGTAATTTGAAGATCATTAAAAAAAGTAATCACTAATTTCTGATTACTGATTTCCGATTTCTTCAATATTTTTTTTGACTTTTAGATTAGACAAATTTGCGTAACTATTATTTTGTAAAAACTTAATTTTTTTATAGAAATAAAAGTGGTTACGGTTTAACTTCCCGAAATCCATTTTTCTGAAACACCATTTCACCGAAGTCGTAATGCCGAAAATCCATTTTACTAGCAGGACAGAAATAGGTCTGTGTCATTTCGCCGAAAATCAAATAGCTGATAAGTTTATTTTACTAATAATTATTTCACTGACAGCTCATTTCACCGACAGGTTTTTTTTAAAAATTGCACTAACCTTAACTCTAATTCTAAATCTGATCCTAACGACAATGGCCAGAATTACTTTTGTCGGTGAAATGACTGCCGGTTAAATAAACTATCAATGAAATAAACTTGTCGCTTAATTGATATTCGGTGAAATGACACAGACCTATTTCTGTCCCATAAGTAAAATGGATTGTCGGTTATTACAACTTCGGTGAAATAGTATTTCAGAAAAATGGACTTCGGGAAAGAGCAAAGTTGCATATTCGTCATTTTGTAATATATTTGCAAAAATAGAAGTTGCGCATTAAAATATCCAATCAAATTTTTACAAATGATAATGCGTC